CAACTCACCTAAGCACGATATATAGTCAGTGGGCTATCTTTTGAGCGGCCGGCTAACAAAACAAACAAGATTGTGGAAAAAAGTACCTTTTTGGAAGCAATACACTACAGCGTAGTGACCACAGACAGTTTAAATGTTAAAAGCTGCCTTAGATTAAAACACTACTTTTGCAGTTTTCTGACCTCATATTTTACATGGCATTAAGGCAAGATAGTCTGCCCAGAAGAGTGCCTTGGGCAAGTAGACAGGGTGCCCTGTTTAGATATATGCATATAAATACCTATGAAAAGTTGGTGAGGCAGAGCACCCTCCCTCCATGTAAACATGGCCAACCAATTGTTAAGAGGCTTCCTTAAATTTCCACCAAGGGTGGCTGCTTAATGGGGTTCCTGGGGCGGTTACAGGATTTTAGAGAAGGGGGTTTCAGATACAGACGGCAGAAGGCTGGCCCCTATAGGGGGTTCTATGGGCATCCTCCCCCGGAGAATTTTTAAAATTGAGGTCGTTGGAATCAAGATTTCCAGCGTGTTAGAGTGTCTTAGTTTTATAATTTAGGGGGCTCGACCAAACCCCCCAAACCTCCCTAGATCCACCCCAGGGTTCTACTGTAAGTCAATTTGTGACTTAGGAATTCATGATGGTGTTTCATCATCATATACATGGCACTTTTGTAAGTATTATCATCAATTTTCAGCACGGTTTGTTGTGGAAGTTACACTTGTAAAAAAATACTTCCCAGAAGCTCCATGTATTAAGTGAATTTAGGTTAAGTCATTAAAAATATATGCCTACTCTTACATAAGAGCCATTTAGAGTAAAGATTTTAAGGCTGGCAAAACTTGCTTAGGAGAGGAAGTTCACATACGTGACTTCCAGTAGTTCTGTTTTCTTGCTCAGGTGGGAAATTAATTTGAGTTGATATTAAGTAATTTAAAATCATTATATGTATTTCTTTCCCCATGTAAATTAGTTCCAAAGCCAAGAAAATAAAAGTGAAATTTAAAGACACTAACTAAAACAATTTTTAACTTCTATGTAAGGTAATCTGTCTTTTATTTCATCATTATCAGTCATTGTCATGCTATGCTTTTATTTGCTGTGGTATTTTTACAATGTTATCCCCACACCGTACACACAGCTTGCGTTTAAAGTATAGATACAAGTTTTCAAAACAATGATTGTCAAATGTGCCAGCATAATTCTCATGTTTACCAGTAATAAAGAAAAACATGGACTTAATGAATTACAATAATTATATTTATTTAACAAAAGTATGAAACATATCATAGGAAAGAATATGCAAAAATATATTCTATTTAGAAGGGTTAATCCTGTGTTTCAAACATTACTCATCAATTCTTTCTTTTACTTTTATGACAATAAATTACAAAGCTCTGAAAAGAATGTCACTCATTTTTAACATCAGT